ATTTTTGATCGATAAAGAAAAAACTTAATTTACGAAAACTTTTACTATGTTAATCGATCTTGAGCTCTTAAGTAAAAATGTTCGTCTAAACAAAATACCTCTAGTTTAATAGAACGAAAAAGTCGATTGTCTTAATAAAATTTCAAGTAAATGACTTATAAATTTGAATGTTCAATTATAAATTTTCAAATCAAATCAAATTTGATCATATTAAATTTAATTTAATTTGAAAATTTCAGATTTGAATTTGATAAGAACTTAAATATTTGATCAAATCAAATCAAATCAAATTGTAGAATCCTAATAAAATTTTCTTAACTTTAAACTTAAATCACTCAACAACTATTTTATTAAATTTAATAAATTTTTTATTTATTTTAATTTTATATAATTTCAAGATTAAAATAAAAAAAATTTACCAAATTTAATAAATAGTTATTAAGTTATTTTAATTTAAAAATTAAAAAATATTACTAAAAATAATTTGTTTCTTATACTAATGTAAAACATTAAAGTCAGTACTTTTAGAAAAATAAGAAAAGTTAGACATCAATTTCATAAATTTAATCAACGGTATGCCAAGTCATATTGCTAAAGTTATTGCTAATAATGAATATAGTTGTAAATACTAATGCATTATTATTTAATATATGTATTGTAATTACTATTACATATTTATGTATTGTATTTTAGAATTTGTATATCATTATTTTTTATTATTAATTTGCTAAACAATAAATATATATATTTAGAAAATTTATATTAAGTTTTTTTTCATATAATTGTTATATATTTTCTGAAGATATTGTACTTGTATTTTTGTGTACTGAATCTTTTTTCTTAAAGGTCTAAAAAGTGTTCGCTAATCTAATTTTGTGTTTTCTTTGTATGTTTATTTCTGTCTTTTTTAAAAATAAAGAAGAATAAGAAGAGCTACTTGTAATCAGATATCTATTACTTCGAAGTTCTTACATAATTAATAATGCATTAATTAATCGTTCATTATTGGACAATGGACATGTAATTTAGATCTATCGGCTCGCGGCTCCATGTGAGCTGTTTTTAGAGCCGATGCTTTATTAGTAGACCTGGAGCCGTTTGTATCACTAATTTGCAACACTAGTTCAATCACTATATTTTATAAAAGCATGATACATATTAACTTTTTATTAATATATTTTTTTATTTTTGTCTTACAAAAAATTGTGAACCAAGTTTTAAAACTTAGTTTAGAGCTTATGTAAAAACCTAGTTTTTAAGTTTTTAATTTGATCTAAACCAAATCCAAAATAACTTTACCATCTCTAACAACATGTTCGCAGTTTTCTAACAATGAATTGAACCGACGTAAAACCCCCAAATTTCCAACATCTGTGTCTGAATTTGGTATATCACAGCATCGAGACGCTACGGAAGTCAAAAGACCTTCAAAACCATCCTGCGAAAATGAACAAATTCGATACAATCTTACATGTAAATAAAGGTTATGATGATAATGGTGGCTTCTTACCAAAATTTCGCACTCTTCATTTCGAGCATTGTCTCGAGACATAACGGATATACGCAGTAACTCGAGATCAGATAAAAAAGTGTGTACTTGTTCTAATTTCTTACGAAACAATGCAAATAAATATTAATCAACGTATCCAATTCAAAAGAAAGCTATAAAAAACCAACCTTCCTATTTTCTTCATCCATTCTAAATGTACTTCTCTCCTTATGTAATTCGGAATTCACCTTATCATGGTGACGCTGCACATTCAAGAGTTCTGTTCTTAGTTGTCTTATTCGTAATTTCGATTTCTGCAATGAGGATCGTAGTGCCATATGCTCATCAACGAGATCCGACTAAAATTGAAAACCATTGTTATATCGTTTTTATATAGATTAATCTTATGCTAAAATCTTGTCTAATTCATATATGCAAAGGAGTTATATGGTTTTGTGAACTCATGCACTTGTTCAATACGTGTAGGAAAATTTTCCGGGAAGTGATTTTATATAAATCTTCTGTAGAGCTGAAATTTCATCACTTAAAAATAAGCATAAAGTGATGATAACAAACCTGCTCAATCAAACGAAGTTCAACTTCTTGTTTGAAATATTGAAATTCTTTCGAGAATTTATTATCATCTAACTCATCTCTATTATTGACATTAAAACAAAAATATTGAAAATTACGTCATAAAATGTTGATTACTAAATTATAACTGATAACATAAGAACTTACAAAAACTCATCAATTGTATCATTAATGGCGCTCCCAATAACATCACATTCATTTAATTTGACGGTGACAGTCCGTTTTACCCTTCCGTTTTTGTGTTCTATCTTATGGCATTTAATCTTTATTCGACCAGTTCTCCGGCGTTGATCATTAGTCCGGATGTCGCTATCAGATTCTTGATCTTCAGATGGATCCTGATCACTTCCACTCTCTTGGTCAGTCGCATCCCCAGATAAATTCATTTCATCACCGTCATCATCATTATCATCGACGTGTTTTGGAGACTTTATTTCTTCCAGGAAAGTCGATACACTCTTAGACCACGACATTGGCATTGCCTAATTGTAACATTTAGAAATCTCAATGCCGTGTAGCTCCGATGTTTCATTACTCTTAAATTTTACCTGATTTCCCGAACGAATTGGTGAAGCATGATCATTAATTGCTATGTTATCCGATTGTTGCTGTATAGTGTTGGGTGTTGATTCCGGTGTTTCAATTGCTATGCCATCCGATTGTTGTTGTATTGTGTTGGGTGTTGATTCCGGTGTTTCAATTGCTATGCCATCCGATTGTTGTTGTATTGTGTTGGGTGTTGTTTCCAGTGTTTCATTTCCAGGAGATACTACAATTTTGAAATTCCGAAACTCTGTCTTGTGTGAACTGTTGTAATTTTGAGTATTGTTTACACAAATTTGTAGATGTTAGACCTCGTTGAATAACTTAAGCTCACCCGAGACCTCTTCTTCTTGCGAGAAGCCTCTCTTGGTACTTCTGGGAAAGCTGCTGGGAACCTATAAAATATGTTACTTTGGGATTAATAACTGCTAGAACTCTGAATATACGCACAGCATAATACAGATATGACCTACCAATATTGGCCATATTCGATCAAGCAATATAATTACAATAATTCCCTTTAATAGATTTCGTTTCCAGTATACCGTATTGTCTCGAAATAACGCCCGGGGTGTAGGTTAAAATTTGGCCAGAATTAAGCTTAATTCAGCCTAAATTAAGCTTAATTCTGGCCAAATTTTAACCTACACCCCGGGCGTTATTTCGAGACAATATGATAATACGCGTTCGGTAATTGTGACACGTGATATTTTATCCGCCACCAAAGAAATCCTTAAAATATACCCGGGGTAGAGGTTATTATTTTGTCTCAATTTTAGTTTTTTTAGGGTTAGGGTTAGTTGGCACGTGATGGCTATTTTAAAGGTAGAATTTTCATATAAAATCAACATATGCTACTAATAAAACTTTTTTAAATTACAACTAATTTTTATTAAAATTTTACAAAATATAAATAATTTATTTATTATGATAAAATTTTGAACTATTATTATATTTAAAAAATATATACTTGTTTATATTACAAATTTTTTTGTATTAGTTTAAAATTTTCTAAGATAATATGAGATAGTTAAATTTGCTAAATTTGATTAGTAAGGGTATGGTGACCTAATAAAGTGGTTAGGTTGTCAACCTTTCAAGTAGTAGGTTTGGTATTCAAATCTTATTAATGATGAAAATTTGAATAATCATTTATATAATATTTGTATTATAGTAATTGTTACTAATGATTGGATTAGGATATCTGTAATAACAGTTGCATCAGCATGATTGGTAAGTTATAGAGCATTTATGTAATGATTACATAACATTATCTTTTAGAACAAGATTTGTAATTACACAAAGAAATGCAAACTGATAATCAGGCAATACAAACATTAGATAAGTTCTTATAATCATATAAATCTGTTGAAATTGGGTAACAAGAAGTTCATTTGGAAAGATCTGAATAGAAAGATCTTTGACAGTTCTAATGTTAAGGCTAGTCTATAGAAACAGATATTAAGGTCATATTACCTGATCATAGTATTTGGTTATAGTAGTTGAATAGGCAAGAATCTCTAAATTAAAAGTCTTAAAAATATTATCAACTAGGTTATTAGAATAAACTGAAAAAAAAATATCAGATTAATCTAATATACTGATAAACTGGTTGTAGTCTTATACAGATTATCTGAATTAGGAGTTTGATAAAAAGACAAATAAAAAGACAGAAGTATACTAAAGTATCAGAGTTATACTATAAAGTAGATGTTGAGGTTTAAATAAACTCTACAAGAATATAGCAGTTTAATAATTAAGTTTTGATTGCAAGTATTAGTTCTGTTATAATAATATCTAAGTCAGTTATAAAAATAAGTACAAAAGACTTTAAAAGGTTTATCTTAAATATAAAATAGTTCTAAGATTGAGACAATAATCTAAGTATCAGATATAACCTAATAAAGTTAACAGGTTTACAGATTCAGAGAGTTTAAAATAGAATATCTAAGCAGAAATGTTAGGTATAACAATTAATAAGGAACCTTTAGGTGGATTTCTTAAATAGATAATATAAAAAAGTTACATATATAGCCAATTGTATATTCTTTTTATAATAATTTACTAAACCACATTTACTATTATTATTATTATTATTATTATTTTTAATGTTAAGGTGAGTAATTGCAACCCAGGAGTTTATTGATAATTAGTTGGCATATAACTATTGTGTATAATAGCTACAGAGACAATCATGAAAAAAGTGTACAAC